TCTGGTTGCAGTCTATTGTTTGTTACTTGAAATGAAAACAAAAATGGCTGCAAACAGCAAACACTATTGCCCAAGAAATTGAGATTTATTTTTTCGTATTTATTTATTTATTTATTTATTTTTATTTGGAGCACGATAGAAGTATAAAATCACACACATCATGCGTGTATAAAACACATGAATATCAGCACTCATGGCCTATCTTGGCTTTCTCAGAGTCTAAATCTTCTGGACTAAAACATCAAAAGTGCCAGTTATTAGCAGAAATATTATGAGGAATAAGTTCTGCAAACTTCTCAAAGGGCCTCCCAGCAACTGGAACCATTATGATGAACCAAAGAACACCGAAACCAGGCCAATTACCAGAACAGAAAGGAACATCTTAGCTAACTGTCACAAAGTGGTTTGACGATAAAGCACTTTGTGACAGTGGTGGAGGCTTCGTCAATGGTCAAAGAAAGAAAAAAACTTGTGCCCAGGTACGACAACCAGAAGTGATGGCGGATGCTGTAGATCTTTCTGACCAAATGTTGAGCTTTAATTTAATGTCAACCAGAACCAAGAGATGGACTTTTCCATCACAAATGCCTGGTCCTAGACAAACATACAAATTAATCCTGGTCCACTCAGCACGGAGACTTTCCTGCTCTCTCTCTGGCTCTGATGGTGCGTTCACACCAAACGTGTTTGGAACGTCAGGCACATCTGGTTTATATTCGAAGTCTACGTGGAGGCGATTTGAACCTTTTGGACCGTTTTTATGACGTTCCACACAGACTGTGAATGTAAACCAGACGCACCTGACGTTCAAAACGCTTTTTGTATGAATGCACCAAAAGTGCACATGTGTCAAACTTGAAGCGTCAAATGCATTTTTGACATGCGTAACGCAATTGTTGTGAATGCACCATGAGTCTGTCTCTTCTTCAGATCGTCCTGGATTGGTTAACCTCATCTTCATCTGACAAATCCAGATCTGAATCTCCCTTTACTATCTTGTGTAGAATCCTGTTTCACTTCTTTCTCCTACAACAATGCAGAGTCATTAAATACACTTACATGGTCCAGATGTTCACTAAAATTGGCATTCATAAATTGGCAAGAAGCTTGCAGTTTTCCACAAACAGCAAGTAAAAAGTATTAAATTGTTTTCACTGGTCAAAATACTGTTATTGGTATTTAATTAACAAGAATATCAATAATTATCATGACAAAAATAACAAAAAAAGTTAAATATTTGACTCTTCAGTCCTCTTTCCATAAAATGTGATTGCTGTCAGGTAGTCCATTTTGATTTAGGGAAAAAAAAGGGACTTCCCAGTTTGCAAACCTATCACATGACACATCCCTGGAAAGCCCAAGATGTCCTCTAAAGAGTATTGTAGGGCTAGAAAGGGTAACTCAAACTAGGAAGAAAAAATAAGCTTCAATACAATGTCCACTATAATGAGCATAAGTGTATGGACCGGGTCTCAGGAGGATATGGACCTGTCAAAAATATATATTCTGAGATCCACATGTAAACAGTCTTCTCCTAACACATTTGAACAATAGTGACTGCGTGGGTAGATTCCAGCAAAGAAAGAAACAGCTGATTGTACGCTGTAAAAAAAGTCACTGTAGAATTTACAGTAACTTACAGTAAGGAAATTACAGTAACCTGTAATTTTTTACAGTAGCCTTACTGTAATTTTTACAGTTTTACTGTAATTTTTATTACTATCTTACTGTAATTTCTTTAAAATAACACAGTAATTATATAACATGGTTGCTGTGATTTCTTCACATTTTTATCATAATAAACTACAGTAGTCCTGTAGCAGAATTACAAAAAGTTGTCATTTTACAGTGGTTCATGAAAATGCATTCTTTGCTAGCTTTTAAAAGTTCAAACATGAACTTGCAACTTAATTTACAAAACTCTCAAAAAATATTTTATTTTCCTAATTAAATAAAATATGCATATATATTTTAAAATCACTTTATTTGATTGTCAATTTAAATCTGACAAACTGAAGCAAAACAAAATGTAGTATTTTGCAACAGCAATATTTGCTTGTTATATAGAAGTCAAAGTATTGCAACCAAAATGAAAAATACTCTGATCTAAAAACATAGCTGATACATTTACAATCATCTTAATATGACAATGAATACAATGAATTAAATAATCTTTACTAAAACAAAAGTGCCCAAATGTCAAAGTTTGCAAGCTTTTTATGTAAAACTTGTAGTTAATTTAAATGTCTGTCGTTTTCTTCCTTTGAAGGAAGAAAGGGATCCAGCATTGCCAAGTATTTAAGTTAGATATTTTTCAAAAATGTTATTGCAACCCAAACAGTACATCTCAAACATTTGGGCAAATTTAAGAGTTAGTGAACAGCCAAACAAAAGCAACATGGATGAGTTCTGAGTTGGTTTCAGTCCTGAACTTCTCCAGAAATCATCAAAGAGTTGCTAGAAGATAAAGAAAGAAAAACATGTTTTACTACATGAGATAAACAGAACATTTAACTGCATTAATGTCAGTTAAAGACAGAACTACCAAATGTTTTGTAAAGGCATTACTGAAATAGTTCTCACCTATGAAAAAATATCTTAGGTGGCAAAAGGCGCTGCTGGACCCACTTGTGCCTTTGATGCTGTTTTATGAGAAATAACAATGTTCAGTGATATTAGTTTTAATACTCAGACATTCCCATAGACAGATACACTATCTATAGTGTATAGAGTCTCTATAGACATCACACTATCTCAACAGAGATAGCAATATCTTACTGTCTTCCATCCATTAATCTATGGACAGAAGGATGGAAGTTACAGTGAGACAGACAATTGGTGTATCTGGAGCGGTGTAGGGTCAGTCCTGTCACCCCTGAGAAGAAGCCGCCCTGGTCGCCCATAAATAGGATGTATAAACAAAAATACCAGAATATAGCAATCTGCATATTCTGCTGAACTGAACTAAAAAGTTCACTATAACTAAAAAGAACTGAGAGATAACCAAAGTTAGCTTTAGCAAACAAGCGAGAGTAGCTCAATATAACCACATAACATATATTCTCGTACATAAACATAAAACTGCTATACAATAATTTTTAAAAAGTACTTCCTGCTTCCAGCCAGTAAATATCCCACAATGCAACTGTACATTACAAATTTACAGTACAGCTGTAATTTTCCGCACATGATTCAGCGGTCCAATCACGTCCCGTAAACTTTCCATATGCATCTCAGATCACAGTAAAGAGCTGTATTTTCAAAACCCAGCCACCTTTCTGTAGTTTTCACAGCCATTTGTTACAGTGTAGCTCACCTGTTTTGATTCAACTGCCTATCAGTAAGAACAAACTGAAGTGAGCTAAAATTTAACTTTATAAACCGAGTGATAATAAGTTGTCCATAAATGCTCTGAATGAGAAACTGTTACATTTCAAACATTAAAACCTACAAATCTTTTTTTTTTTTTTTTTCCCTGAAAGAACTCCTAAACTTTCAAATAAGGTGAACTAAGTATGGATTATTTCAGTTCAATATTGATCTTGTTTTTCAATAAATAGAAAGAATATCATTATTGAAAGACAGTGGTATATGTCAGAGGCAGTTTGCCAGTGAACGCTCTGCATCATTGCTGTGGAACGAAGTCTGGCGACAGGGCTTTTATGGACAACCACAGTACAGTGGTATTGAGTTTCAGTGCATTTGCCCTTGGCCAGATAAAATGATAGACTAGCATAGCCTCATGTACAACCAGTTATTAATACATGACATAGAGCATGTAATTTGTAAAAAGAAAAAAAAAGAGTCCTGTGAAATAGCTTTTTGTAAGGTGGCCATTGGCACTTTTTGATACGGGTAACGTAAATCACTGCTCAGGGCGACACGTTGCTGAGTGGCATCAAAGGGAAAAAGAAAAAAAAAAGAATCTGTCTGTGAAACAGTATTTGCTGTGTTCCAAGTTTATTCTGATTTTGCTTTGTTTTGTGGTTAAATTATTTAATTAAAAAAAAAAGAACTTTACAAATCAAGCTCTTTGCTCATCCTAAGTAGGGTTGGAGCCATTTCCAGATTGATTGATAACAATGACTTTGTTTCTCCTGTTCCTAAGTTTCTTTTGATCCGTGTATAATGTCTAATTTTTAACAATCATCATTTTGTCAGACAGGGTTTATTTAATTTAGCTCATTCTTATACCTGCAAATTTGGCAGTAAATACACCTGCATATGGTCAGTTTGAATGAAAAATTAGGTTAAACACAATTACCTGGAGGTAGTTTTCCTTCCTCATTAAGAGTGGATGGCTTTTTTTTCCTAGAGGAAATCGTCATTTGAAAATTGCTTTTTGTATTTACTTAGTTTATTCTTGACAGCTAATAAAATTTATCTGATAATCAGAAACAAGTGTGGAAAAAAAACCATCAGAGGACACCTGTCAGGGGTAGATACCTGTTACAGCACTGTACCACAGTAATGTCAAAAAGATTAAAGAGGAGATTCATTTATCTTCTCCTTGTTCATCGAGTACATAATAAATTACATAAAGTATGTTATTTTACTATGACATAAGCACCACTGCCTCTTTTTTCAACTGAAATTGAACGTGAAAAACCACAGATAGTTGTACATATTAGCTGCTGTAGTTACTGTTACTGTGTCCTTTAAGTCCAGGCAACTTAAAGTGATTCCTCTGCTACTACAAACTTTAAGTTTTGAAGATAGACATTTGCGAGAGAATTCACGTTTTGCGTGCTCGTAGAGTTCGCATATATCTTAGGGCCGCACCTGGTTATTGAGTTTATCCTCTCTGATCTCAGCCTGGGTCCTCCTGAAACTAATTGTAGTGCCCCCCGCAGCTCCCCCTCTCTCTCAGTGTCTGAGTTACAGCGAGGATCTCGCCTCGCCCGGAGCGACGTCACACCAAGGTGGAAGAAGACTCATTTTTCCAGCCTGTGTTCATCCAAAGAAAACACGCTGACAGGCTGAGCGGGAGGAGAGTCGCCTCTACCTGCAGCCGGTGGGCGCCGCCAATTGTTCACCAACTTTTTCATCAGCGCGTCAGCTCAGAGCGCGGAGAGAGCGCTCCGCATCTGACTGCGCATATCTTCATCTGCGCCTCTTTACTCCTCCTGCCCGCATAACAGTTTAAACTGTGACAGAACCCACGAAAGAGAAGCGAGATTCTGCAGCTTGGAGTTGGATATTTTCCTGGCGCAGTAAGTCTTGAGAGTGCTCCTCTTTAGACCACCTTGAAACCATGTAAGCGCGCGGCGACAGACACGGCACAGCGATAATGAAGAGGTTAACCACACATTTGAGAGCGGACATCACTTCTCTCGCCACTTGACCGACTTTGTTGCGCATTAAGATGCGCCCGGCTGAAGAGGAGGTGGACTTTTGCGCACTCCTTGGCGGACACTTTCCAGAGAGCGTTGACTGATCCGCGCCGTCAGAGAGAGAGAGAGAAAAAAAACAATTGGACCTCCTATGATTTTAAGAAACAATCCCACTCGGTGTTGGCTGAGGTCGTTACATTGAAGTTTGTTAAAGGGGGAGAGAAAAAAAATCTCCGTGTGGAATTGCAGCGATCAACATGACGGCTCGTCTCTCGCGGATCCAGCTGGCCCTGTTCTTTATTTTGCTCTGTCCGGTCAACATCATCGGACTGTGGTGGTAAGTTAACACGTGGGTGTCCTGTCTGTTTCATTTAGATCTGAGAGTGTATTTAATCTATCTATCTATCTATCTATCTATCTATCTATCTATCTATCTATCTATCTATCTATCTATCTATCTATCTATCTATCTATCTATCTATCTATCTATCTATCTATCTATCTATCTATCTATCTATCTATCTATCTATCTATCTATCTATCTATCTATCTATCTATCTATCTATCTATCTATCTATCTATCTATCTATCTATCTGCTTTCCTCTGAAAAATATGCTTGTTTTCCATCTGATAAATAACAATTGAATTATTGGTAGCCTTAACAATAATAGCTGAATAATTAACACAAGACATTTGTGGCAAGTAAATATTGAATCCATCATTACTTTCCTGGCCAACTCCTACTGATATGTGGGTTTCTTTAAAGTCTGATCTGCTGGATATGATTTTACTTTTACTTGCTAATGCTATTTTTCAATTAACTATTCCCCATGAAAGAAAGGCAAAAATTTATTGCCAGTCAGGTAAATGTGTTAATTGTAAAATTAGTCCTATTTATGAATTAATAAAGGGCATTAAATTAAATTGTGCTCCTTGATGCATTTACTGACCAAGAATGATGGCAGTTCTTGATTTTGATGTATTTAGAGAATTAGGAAGGAGAGGTGAGATGTCGATACATGATGTTTTGATTATGAATTAGACCCTCTGAGGAAAATGTTTCTAACTATGGGATATTATTACATTATTAGTCTATTTCTTATGTGAAAATTTATATATTTTCAATACAATTTTCAACAATGTTGTCCAATGCATTTTAATTATTTCAGAATATGCATTATTTGAAAACTGATGAGTAATATTTTATTCTATTTTTTGACTAAAAAAAATGCTCATGACCAATTTCATCCTGGTCTGACTGGCTGAATGTACTATTTCTATTTGTCAGTATCACAACACATACAAGATAAACAATTGAGTAGAAGATTCTTTGGTAGAGGTAGTACCCAGTTTGTCCATTAATGTGTGTTTCGGTTATCTTCATCTGACTTTTGTTAAACTCCAATTGGTTGATTGTTGCATATGATAGAGTGTAAAAGGAACAAAACAGGGAGGTAAAAACTTGTGTGTGCTCTTTGCAGTGAGAGAGAGCTGTGAGGTCGGTTGAGGTGTCGTTGATGATGTGTGTGTCTGTGACGGGAGTTCAGGGTAAGGAATGTCAGGTGGCCCTCTAGGCACAGTGGATATGTCATCATAAAACAATCCATACAGGCTCAGCTCAGCAGGATGGGTGACAGTTGAACAGACAGACGGGCATAAAGCCCAGCAGATCTACTGATAACAGGTTTTCTAATAATGTTAGATTTTTGTATGTGTGGTGCTTTTCAGAAGGCGGGGGGTTCTGTGCATGTCTGCAAGTCATGGCTCCTGCAGACATGCAGACAAACTTTTGCAGTGTTTGATAGTGAAGCTTTGTGGTTTTGTTCTATTGAATCCTCCCACTGTTCATTCATAGCTCAGTCAAGGTCAGTGTGGGATGTAGTGTCATGGGGGCTCTGTAAGTGCATTTGCTTTTTGACTGCTCAACTTAGAAATGTAGTTTCTCTAACTTGAGATGGATGGACTTCTGAAAATGCACAGAAGTTCAAGATCTGAGATTGAACAAAATATTAAAACTGTGCTCTAATAGAAAAAAAAAAGTTTGAATGTTTGGAGTCTGGAATACACCTAACAACATTTGCCCACAAGGGTGCAGCATTATACACCAGCCTCTTGAATTTTGCAAAAGCTCTTGTTTTATTTACTTGATAAGGAAATATTTTAATGAATGAAAAGGGAGCTAATCAATGCTTTATCACTTACAATGTTATGTTTTTGTTTGTTTCAGTTTAACCTTTGGTATCAAAAAGAGTTTTGTTTGGTTCTTATTAGACGTTGCACTAAGACATAGGCACTAAAAGGTTATTGGTTTGAGTAATGCAGTAAAAACGTCTTGCTTGAGATTTTGAAAACATTAGATTTCAGACAAGCCTAATGGCTGACAAGTTCTGCCCCCCGGCAATTCTAAAAAAATGTGCAGGAGACAAAAACAACCTCTCCCTCAGAAATGCAGAACATTACTGTGAAAATCATACTTGATGGGGGAAAAAAAAAATACAAACTTAAAGTTTTATTTAAAAATCATATTTTCTACTGAGGAGGCTGCTTTTAGGAGAACTGACTACATCATCTTAGTTGGCATCCAGAACTAAAACAGTCACACACTTAAGTGAGAACCACCTTCAATTGGCATGTTCTGGAATTATTTTAATAAAATAAGTATCCCGAGAATGCATTATTCTGTTATAAAACATTTAAAAGAAAAAGTAATGCTTTACTTTATTTAAGACTGAGTCTATTTTGATGTGTAGATTTAAACACATTGATACAGAATAAAAATCACTTAACTTAATAGTGGTTTTTAAGGGTTTGTTCTAACAGGCTGATGTTAGTTGGTCTATTAGTCAGCCTTTCTGCTCAGGTAAAGCCTGCAGTCATTTGCTTTAGAGTGATGCAGCTCATGGCTTGCCAACTACATTTCAAAATCAGCTCCTTTTCATGTGTGGACAGTGATGGGTAGCACTGCTTTACTTCACACACCATAACTGTCTTAATCTTTTTCAAAATCTTGAAAACATACAAACACACACATGTACATCATTTTTCATTTTCTTCTATGCAAAGAAGAAACAGCCTGCTCAAAGGCAGAGTGCAGCAACAGGTGGTGGAGGGGGAGTGTTTTGTTACTCTGTGCATCGTAGAGCCGGAGAAAACTGCAGCCACTTCTGCATTTTCTGTTGTGTTACAAGTGATGCCCAACATCATCAATTCTGAAACCGGGCTTGTTCAAATTTATTTAAGTTCATTTTACTTTCAGACCTGCATTGTAATAGAATAGCATAATTTTACTGCCAAGCTGTTGAAAGTATGACTGAAGTCTTTTCTAGCATCACTAAACTCTTCAGTGGAGTTGCTCTGACTAAATTGATGTCCTATGTTTCCTGAGGCTATCTTTCACAATTTGAAGCCTGATAAATTCTAGCATAGCCAGCATGTTGATGTGTTTTTTCAGAAACCATCACACGTGGCCGTTTAAGGAATCAAAAGCGATTCAATGAGTCATTTAGTGTAAAATAACATCTTGTCAGCAGAAGTATTTTAGTCTGTACAGTCCATTGCCAAAGGGAGACTCTCTTATGTTTTCTTTGATAAAATAAGTGCCCTCTTCACAACGTATTAAAAGGTCTTCAGGAACAAAAATCTTGCAAAGTTGTTCCATTTTGTAAAGTGAAAGAATATATAAATAGGATATATAAACAACTTTTAAAATACAGCATACAATCTTCGATTAAAAGAGGGATGAAATTGTCTCAGTGTTTATACCATTCCATGTAAATTTTCCTAATTCACTATTCATGTCAATAATTTTGAATATTTTAAAACTTTTTTAATATGTTACATATTTTAAACATCTTAGCAAACCATCCATCCATTTTTTGATTTCTTCTTGGAGGATGGACACTGAGACACAAAGTCTCCTTAAAGAGGGACATACTCAAAAATCTCAAGCAACTTAGGTACCGCACATTGCCACATAGGTTCCCACAAAATACCTTAATTGACATGGTAATAAGATTTCCCCAGATTCCGACAATACAAGTGAACCAGACCACTAAACAGCCTTTTACTAAGTTTCCAAATCATGTCTTTCATTCAGGGTATACCTTGCAAAATTCTATCATGTCCCAAAGTTTATTGGAAATTTAAAAAAGGAAGACTAAATGGCATATTGTCTGTCAAAATGTATTCAACTTCTTAAGAGTTCATGTCAGTGTTCAATTGGCCATGCATTCTGGAGATTTATTTGAAATAAAGCAGAAGTGGATTAAGGGAATCAGCACTCTGGAATCAGCTACTTTTCTTTTATCCTCACTGACATAAATTGTCATCTTCTTTCACTCACCCTCTTGTTCGCTGGCTCCCTCACACACTCACTGACACATTCAGAAACACACACACACATGCAGAAGCGCACACACAGTGACCGACTGTGATGCAGCCTGGGGTTAAACCACACCTGTGGGTTGCTCCGTAGTATGCCAGGACAATGATTGGCTCTGTTGAAAGAAGCTGGACATACCATCATACATCGCTCCTTCTCTGTCTCATGCTCATTCCCCTTCTATGTTTCTATCTCTGTATGTCTTCTGAAGGAAAATGCCTATCACAAGGATAGGCTGTCGCTGAGGGAAAAGAGAGAACTGCAATGAGAGACGCAGAGTGAGAGATATGAAATGCTTGGAGATAGCTGTCCTTTCAGAGCCTCTCCTGATTAAAGCTCTCTAATCATTTGGCCTCAGAGCAGAGAGCACAGCTCAGAGGAGTGAGGAATGTCTTTGCTCTCCTATACTAGTTTTGACTCCAGTGCTTAGCAGGGCCAACTGTGTTATTTGCGTGTGTCTGTGATGGGTCTGCATTGGTGGTCAGATTGCCAGGAACATGCCACAATGACACAGGTGCTCATCCACAATGCATGTGTGTGTGTTTTTTTAAAGTATATATATAAAATCATGATGATCAAAAATGAAACACTTTTATGAAGAAATAATTTTCATCTTTCAATGTACGACCACTTATTGGGAACAGAAAAATGATGAAGGCACATTTCCTCAATTTGTCATAATGCAGAAACATTAAGTGAACATTATAAGGAGTTTAAGGGAAAGTAAAACCCATAACCTCAGGGAAAATGGACACAATGTAATTTATGCCATGGTTACGACAGATAACTGAAGCAGAGAACAGGCATCCAAAATAGTGAATCTGTTGTTTGTGAGCATGAAGTTTACCAGGTAGGAAAGTGCTTTCGTTTACTTTTTGTGTCCTCTGTCAGGACATCTGCTGATGACCCATGTAATGTTAAATCAATAATGGTTTTACAAATGTTCCTCCTGCAT